ATGGGGCTATGGGGCAGGCCTAGTCGACAGGCTGACCACAGACGACAAACGAGGGACCTCTAGATAAAAGTAAAACTCCTGGTTATAAGCAAAACTCCCTGAACTCTCTGGCCTGGTTTTTCCTAGCCCTTTCTGAGGCTCTGTTCGAGAACAGGGATGGGGGTAGGTGCTGGGAGAGAGGGTTGGAGAGAAGCCTGGGAAAGGCTGCAGGGTGGTCACAGAAGCAGGAGGCACCCTGAGAGTTGTGATGGGGACCCTCATGGGGATACCCCACAGGGGGCCAGGGACTGTGGGAATCAAGGGCAGGTGGGCCCTGAGGACAGGAGGGGCCCAGAGTGTCTGCCTCCACCCAAGCTCCTCTGTGACTCCCAGCCAACGGCTCTGTGGACCCAAGTTCATTCTTATAAGGAAGAGTGGGTGCATGCACGTCCCTCCTGGGTCGGGAGGGGCACCGAGCTACTGGTGAGTCCTTCATCACCCACTGGAAATCTCCCAGGTTTCCTTTCCAGGAGAGACCTGGCTCTGAAGGGTGTTGACTGCACCTCCCTTTCCCCAGACATGGGACTTCTTCACTGGGGACAACAGGGTGGCCCAGCTGACCTTGGCCAGGTCCACACTTCTGACCCTCCCCACTGTGCCTCCCCACTGGGATTCAGACTTCTGAAGCTGCCCTGGCCTCCTCCCTATGGACCTACCCCAGGTTTTGGGAAGGGTCGCTCTAAGGCGACCTTTCCGTGGGGAAAGGGCAGAGGGAGGAGAGCAGAAGGAGGGAAGTGTCATCAGTTTCTTTTTGGTGTTAAGAGGCTCAACCCCCTGGTGTTCCCTGTGGGGGAAGAAGGGAGCAAGGCCATGGGCAGGGAGTGGTGACCTCGCCTCTGGGTTTCAATTTGTGCGGTATACGAATGGGCTTTAGGGAGCATCTGGCCCCAGCTTCATTACAGGTCCCTGCAGCTGGAGAAGGCCGGGGCCCCCCACCCTTCGGGGCCAGAGAGCTGCCGGGCACCCTGAAGAGAAGAGGAATGTGGATCTCATTGGAGGCCCTGGGACTGCACCCTGCCCAGGTCAGGAGAGTCAACTAGGGTGCTGGGGCTGTGCCCAGCAAGAGGCGGGAGACCAACTGGAGGCTCAGGGTGAACACCAAGCACTCCCTCACGGCTAACTGAGCCTTGTGCTCTCTCCAGGAGCCGGGCCTGGAGAAAGAGGATCTGTGGGCACCACCAGGAGGGCACCAAGGGTAGCTTTTAAAGCAACCCACAGGCAGGCTGACCACCCATGGGAGCACCCACCCCAGTGCACACACACACTCAGTGAGAGTCTTGCTGTAAGCCCAGGGCTCCACGCCAGTGGGCCTGGCTTTGGCGGGGGTAGGTGCAGATTTGCGGATGGAGTTGGCTCTCCGGAATGGTGTTGGGGGATGGGGCACAAGGCTCCAGGACAGGCTTCAGCCTCCTGCTCCCCGAGGGGTCTCCAACCACTCCCTTCCCCAGAGAAGTGTGTGCCCTACCCCCAAACTCTTCCGGTCCTGGGGCTCTTGTTAATGCACCCATGAATCAACCCTCAAAAACACACCATTTTATAGAAAGAAATTTCCCTAAAATAAACATTTTTAGTTCCCTTTTTTTTGTTGTTGGTTTTCTTTCAAAAGACAAATACTTAGGAGTCTCAGAAACAGAATCAAACCTCCCCAAGAAAACTCTCTCTGCCCTTTCTTTCGGAGAAGCCAAAGAACAGAAACATTATCTTGCAGGGATATTTTAAAGCCCATGAAGATAGGCGACTTGGGCTGGGCTGGGCCAGGCTGGGCCAGGCGGTGCTGCCCAGCTCCTGGGCCGTTGGGGGCTGGCTCGGCGAACTCCGGCGCCTCACAAAGCCCGGCCGAGGCTCCTCGCCCGGCATTGTGAGCCTGTATGTTAATTAAATATTAACAAAGGAGGAAGACGAGAACAATGGAGCAAATTTCAGATCTAGCTGGAGAAATCTGAATTTCATCAGAAATATGCACGCATATTTCTGCGGGATGGCGGCCGAAGGGCTGGCTCACTCCTGCGATGATCTGGACCAATGACCCCCGCAAAATAGTTGAGGGTTTGGGGGCAGCGGGGATCCGCTGCCAGCTTGGGGTCAAACAGCCCAGTCCTAATGGCGGTTCGCAGCCGCAGACCCGCATGGAATGCAGTTGATGATTTCTACAAGGACATGGACTTAGTTTTTTAAAATCCCAGATCTATGAAAAAACACAGCCAGCATCTCTGCACGGCCCCTGCGAATGCTGCCTCTTTCCTATCAGCAGCCCCCAGGAAACCTGGAGAGAAGGTCCTTCCTATTTGGGGATGGCAGGTGCAGGGAAGGAGGGCTGCCTCCCTTGTCCTCGCTGTGTGCAGGAAGGGGGCTGAGCCCCACCACTGGGGGCTGGCGTTGGCAAATAAAGTGGAGCCAAGGGAAAAGGGCGCCTTTATTTTCCTCCTTCCCTGTGTGCGTCCTCCTGCGTCCCACCGGTCAGTGCAGGCCCGAGGGGCAGAAGGCAGAGCAGCAAAGGGCCTCGCCTTTTCTTCCCCGAGCACAGCCGGGATAACCGAACGGTAGGACGAGTCTGGGGTGGGCTGGGGCATGCATCCCGGGCCTGGCCTGAGTTGAAAGATCGCAGGGAAGGGGTTGAGAGTGTGCACTTCCGGGCCCATCTTCCAGCCACCCTGTTCCCACCAAAAAAACTACAGTGGGGGAGACATGGGTTACGGGCTGGGAACAGATGCCCTAAGGCGGGGTGGAAGAGAGAGACGGGAGACAGAGAGAGAGTAAGGAGAGAGACAGAGAAAGAAAGGAGGTGCTAAGAAGTCTGTGCTCCCTAGCGAATCAGTCCTGCCGCTGGACGCCTGGCCGCTGCCCCGGCAGGCGTCAGCTTCACACAATGTCGCGTGAGTCTTTGTGCGTGTGTGCGGGGGAGGTTCGAGATGTTTTCCTCCCGGTAAGTTCCCGCGCCAGCACCGCCCCCCAGCTCCGCGGACCTCCCCAAGGCGAGCTGGGACGCGTGGTCCCCGCGGGCTCACCTGAAGAAGGCCGGTCCGAGTAGCGCGTACAGTAGACCCACGCCGGCCAGAGCATGGGCTGCGCGCCCAGGTTGGCGCCGGCTTGCGAGCTGTCCGAGTCCGAGCTCACCGACAGGTCGCCGCCGCCCAAGCCGCGGGCCTTGAGCGCCCCGTCCAGGGGGCCGCCGGGGTCGCTGCCTTTCTTGGCGCCACCATGCAGCGAGAGCGTCTTGGAGCCGCCTTCCCCGTCACCCGGAGAGTCGCTGCCGGCGGCTGGGAGCGGCCCGCCCGAGCCGGGCGCGCACGGCGGGTTCTGCCGGGGCTCTTGGGAGCCGGACCCCAAGAGCTGCTCCGAGCCGCCGGCGCCGCCGCCTCCCTCTGCACCGTTCGCGCAGCCTTCGCCGCCAGCTCCGCCGCCCCTTCCTCCTCCCGCACCCGCACAGCAGGTCCCCGCGTCCTTTCGCCGGCCGAACTCGGGCCGCAGGATGTTGTCGATGAAGAAGTTGGTGATGCGGTGCGGGTGCTGGTGGTTGCCGGGCGCCTGCAGGACCGCGGGCAGCATCAGAGCCCGCCGGCGCCCGGTGTCCGCTTCGCCCGGGCTGCTACCGCCGCCGCTGCCGCCCGAGCCGCCGCCGGGGCTGGATTCCGGCTGCCGCTGTCCCTCCACCGCCGCCGCCGCTTCGCCGGGCTTGGGGTCATTCTCCTCCATGCTGTTCACAGTAAATCCCAGACTGGTTCTCCGGGGACGCCCTTCCAAATCAGCCTTCGGCCCTCCCGCGGTGCACACGCAGACCCCCGCGCCCCCACCCCGCCGAGTCTTCCGAGGGCTTGCGCGGCGGCCGCGGCCAGGGCTGGGGTCCTACAAGTCGCCGGCCGCGCTCGGCGGGGAGCCACGTTTGAATCCACGAACTGGGTTAGAAACACCAAGAGCCGCGCGGCTCGCCCAGACGCCGGGAGATTCAACAGAGCCAAGTCCTCGACTTCGCCGCGCGGCCAGGCTCTAGACAGTCGCAGTGGTCCGGCGGGGACGCGGGCCGCCTCCCGGGCTCAGCGCTCCTCTCCGCGTCCGGCCGCCTCGGGCTCCGGCGCCGCCGCCTGGGCCGCCCGGGGCGAGAGCTGCGCGCATGCAGGCAGCGCACTCTCCGGCGCTCACGCCGGCCCGGGCCGGCTCCGGCCGCCGCCGCCGCCGCCGTCCCGCCCGCGCGCCCCAGCGGCCCTCGAGGGGTGCCGGCGCCCGCTGTCAGCGCGCCCGCCAACTCCCGCACGCACATGGAGGCCCCCTCCGCCCGCGCGCCGCCCCGCTGCGGCCGGCGCGCCCCACCGGCGTGCGGCCGCGCCCCCGCCGAGCCCCGCGGAGCTCCGCAGCCCGAGACGCATGAGTGAGAGACGCGAGGCCAGGGCCGGGCCGGGCCGGGCTGGGCCGCCCGCGCTCCCCGGCCGTCCGCCGCCCTCGCCGCCTCGGCCTCCGCGCGGGCTCGGAAATTTCCAGGCCACTCGGCGCAACCTGAGACACTTTCACTCTGGATTTTTGTTCTTATTTTTAACAGAGCCCCCTCGAGTGACGTCGCAGGCCGGTCTCCTGGACACGTGCCTCGGGCCAATGGCCGCGGCGCCGCGCGCCCACGTGATGCTCCGGCCGCCGCTGGGTGACAGGAGCCGCCCGCCGCCCCTCCCCCCCTTAAAGCGGCCGCGTCCCCCGCTCCGGGTGCAGGAGCCCGGGAACCGGAGAGACCCCCGACCGCGTCTCCTGCACTCGCCCGCGCTTTCCCTGTCGCTTCGCGGTTCAGGGATCTGAGTCACCCCGCGACAGCCCCGCCAGGTCACCCCGGGGCGTGTAGGTGGGCACGCACAGGAAGATCGCTATTTTTAACATTTCCATATTGTTTACCGTGGGGCGAAATCCCACAATTCCTTGCACAAAATGCATAAATAATATTAAATGAGCTGCCGAGATACAAAGGGACTTTTGTGGTCCGCTTTCCTTGCTGATGGAGAGGAATAGTGTCACTCCCATTTGACTCGGTAACCCGGCAGCTTCCTGTCTTAAACGCAGAGCTGGCGCGCAGGACACTCCTCCTGCAGACACTTATTGTAAGTGTGCGTGTGTGTGCGTGTGCGTGTGCAGGGAGGCGCGTGCATACGGCCGCATTCCACCCGGGGACAGCGACCCTCATGAAACATGCATAGCGATCCGGAAGAGCGGGGAATGCAGTGTGCGGCTCCGTTTGCGAAGGGAGAAATCCAGGAGCCTCGGAGGTTCTAAGGGAATCCTTTTTGCCAAGGAGGGGAGGGGTGACGGTTCAGCTAAGACTTCAAAACCAAGTCGCCCGCCCCCCTCTAACTTCTCTACTCTGGTTGAGGAGCTCCCAGACCGGTCATCTCATTTTCTTTGTTTTAAAATCCTTTAAACTAATTTTGCAGGAGAGCAGGGCCCATTTGAAAGGAGTATTAGGAATCCAATGGCAAGGGTGGGAACCCCAGTTGGTTTCTCCCCTCCTCTCTCTTCATCTTTTCTAGACTTTCCTTCCAGCTGTTGTCAGAATGTCCAAATGGAAGTTCTGTTTCCTCTTCTCTTCCCCCTCTCCCTTGGGCTCCTTCCCATTTGCTCTTCTCTACCCACCAAACACCCGTTGTTACCCCAGGCTCACCTGTCCATCATCTAAAATGCATTTTTATGGAAATGTGTGAATTCCTGGAAACATCCGATAGGGCAGCTCTGGGGGTGTGGGAGCGTTTGCATGCCATAAGTACCCTCAGGGCAGGGGAGGTGGGGAGGCCGCAGCCTGGCATGGACACCCTAGGGCTGATTGGCCTTGGGCAGCTGCAGGGTGCTCAGCAGCCCAGACCCCCGCACAGGCAGCCAGCGGGGAGCTGCCAGGCCCTGAGTGAACTTGGGGAGTCAGGGCAAGCATCTCCAAGGCAGTGTGGCCTGCCAGGCCCCCTGGAGGCCTGAAGGTTGCGCCCTGGCCTTGCGAAGCTCCCTTCCCGGGGTCCATCCCAGGTGCTGTCCTTAGTCTGCAGGCTTCAGAGTGCTGGCGGGGCTGAGATGAGAAACAACAGTTCCCACAGCCTGCTCCCAGGAAAATTACCCCCAGCCAGGAGGGGAGTGGTGGGGGAGGAGGTGCTGGGCTGGCCTCCTGGTCACTGGAGGTGACTCTGGTCAGAGTGTGCCGTCTGTCCTGTGTGTCTAGGGCAGGGTGGGGAAGCCCGTTCTCGCTGGGGCTGGATTCCTCCACTTTTTCTTCATTGGAGGAGTCCTTACCAAATGTTCTGACTAGGCACACACCCTGCCAGGGGTCCTCCCCGAGTCTCAAAAAAATCAAACTCCACAGTCTACCTGCCCCCAGGAAAATAGGGCTGGTGAGAGTTTGTGGGAAGTCTTATTGACACTTACTTGGTTTCCGGGGGGGGGGAGAATTTTCCGCAAATCTGGAAACCCTGATGATCACCAGTCAGGAAAGGGAGGGTCCAGTGACTTTGGGTCTCCTGAACATGGTGTGGGGGGAGGAGCGGCTCTGAGCTGTTTTGCTTCCTGCAAAACCATCCCAGGTTAATGGCTCCTCCTGTCCCAAGAAAGCCAATTAGGCGGCTTCCTGAGAAGTATTTTCTGAATTCATAGGACTCTTTGCCTCTGACTGCCTCGGTATAAATGGCCCCAAGACGCTGGGCTTCAGCCCTGTGCTTTCCTGCGACGCAGACCCCAATTCGTGGCTGCAACAGAGACTCTGGGAACAGAGCGTCACCTCCGGGGCGCCTGGCGGGCCGGTGGGCGGAGACCTGGCCGCGCAGAGTCTGCAGGCTGGGCCGTGGGGTTGGCTGGAGGAAGAAGAGGAATTCGTGGGTCGCTGTTGTGGAAAGGAGGAGGGTGAGAGGTGGAGGGAGGAAAAGGAGAAAGATAAATAAATGAAGAGAGAGATAACTAAAGGGTACCTGGCCCCCAAAGTGGACCCAAACACGAAACAACTCTGGGAAAGCGTTGAGAGGGGTCACCGTTCAAAGGGCCGGGGAAGCTGGGATGGGGCTGCAGAAAGTTGAGCTGCCCAGGGGCTGGGCGGTGCTAAGTTCCATACACACGGAACTCTCCGCAAGGTGTTTCAGGAAGCTTCGAGAAGCGCGCGTGAGACCCTGCTCCAGCTGGGACGGCGCCTCGCGTTTTCTGGTGATGCGGGGCAGTAGCGTGTCTCTCCTCCGCTATGCCAGCCCCGGCTGCAGCGCGCCCGCGAGCCCAGCGCCTCCGCTTTCTCCCGCGAACGACCGCCGCCCTCAAGGTCGGCCTTTCTGTACGGATCAGACTAGCCCTCACCGGACATTTGTTTCTCCCGGGAAGGAAAGTGAGGCTCTGGCCCAGGAACCCCGTTTTCCTTCTAGCCTCACCCGGGTATTGGAGAGCGCCCGCAACACCCGCTTGCGGAGGACGGTCCTCCATATTTCCCAGGCTCGCTGCACAAAGAGGGGCCTCAGAGAGGGCGAGCAGGAAAGCAGATTCCAGATGCCGTGCGCCTCAGGACAGGGACGCTAGTTTTGCAAACAAAACCTCGGTGAAGCGCCCCGGAGACACCGGGCGCCCGGCTGCCGAGCTAGGCTCCCGTTTTTATTTGAAAACGAGGTCAGAGAAGGGAGACTTTTCCGGACCCTCTGCATCCCCTCACTCGCCTCGCTTCTCTAGGTTGACGTGGTGACACTGGGAAAAATGGACTCAATGAGAGCCATTCGCTCGCGGCGGTCTAGTTACTCGCGGGGCAGAGACGCCCAACAATCCCTGACAGCGAGATTTCCACCCCAGCCAAAGCAGGCCGGGCCAGCTCTGCGCCCCCGGCCAGGAGCCGAGCCCCGCAGGGCCAGGCCCCAGGCGCCGGGAGGGGAATTGGGGCCGACAGGAGAGAAACACCTTCCCCCGGGCGAGCAGAGAGCCACCCTCGGCTCCTGGTGCTGACGCTCCGACCCGGCCTGCCGGCAGACAAAGGCCGAAACGAAGGGACGCGGGGAGCAGGGGTGGGCCGGGCGGGGCCAACCGGCGCAGACGTTGCGTGTCTGCGCTCACCTCTGAGCAAAGGAGGACCCGCCTACAGGCCCACCAGGCGAGCTCAGGGACGGGTTCTGGGAGGCTGGGTCTAGGGTCTGGGACTTCTTCCGAATAACCCTCGGAAGGGAGGGGTTAAATGTGGCAGCGGAAAGGGCCGTTGCCCTGGAAAGGGCCGGGAGCGGCGAGGGAACTGGGGTGCACAGGCCCTCGCGTGCCCAGCGCTTCGCCTTTCCCCGCTCCAGGCCCGCCAGGGGCGCGCTTGGCGCGGACAGAGCCTGGTGGGTGGGTTGGCGCCGACAGAAGCTCGGCCGGGGAGGGGGCGGGCGGGCGCATTGCACGCCCTGGTTCTGCCCGGATCGCTGGAGAAGCGCCTGTGCTGAGCCAAAGCTCCCTGGGCGCTGGGGAAGCAGAGTGGGCCAGGCGCCCACTGGGGACCACTCTTCTGTCCTGCTTGATACTTAGACCAGGCTCGCCCGGGGAGGGGGGCAGCTGGGGGCCGGTGGGCAGATCTCCAGAGCTGGCGTCTAAAGATGCAGAAACTGTCCCTCACCTGGTTTCTCTGGAAAGCAGTCACTTCTGAAGGAGAATCTGAAGGATGGCTCTACTTGTGCTAGCAACCCCCACACCTAAACCAGGTCCTCTGTACCCGCTCCCCCTTTCGGCTCTCCAGCGCCAGGGGATCCTCATTCTGGGTGACCTGTCTTCCGTCTTCCCAGGAATCACCTTTCCTTGGCAGCTCCCTGCCTGCTCTCTTATCCTGTTTGACTGCTGTTCTTATTCCCATAAAATTTGGACTCCTGTGGAAGGTGGGCCCATTTCCACTCAAGGCACACCTGAGACTCCCCAAACAGGCCTGCACTCTGGAGTCTTCCGGGAACCCTGGAAGGGGCAGGTTTGGGAGCACAGACTGTTTCACCACCTAATGCCTGGATTCTTATGAAAATGCCCCCTCAAAATTGCAGCAACCCAGAGGAAAGTGGCACCTCTCAAATAATCCAGTCAAATAAGTAAAATTAGTTTGGCAAAGGAATTTGAAGAATGGCACCCATGGCTTGAGCTAGCTAAGCATACCAAACAGGAAGGAAAACACAGAAAAGGATAATGAGCCTTGAAATACATTAGCCACCTTCTCCAGCCTTGCAACCATTCACAGATGGAGGAAATTCTAGTATGTATCCGCCGTCTTCCTTTTGACCTTTGGAAAGGAAACAAGATGTTCAAAAGAAACCCCTGAAACACCAGTCCCACCTCCCAGAGCCTGACGTTTTCTTCTCTTCTCTTCTTTCCCCAAAGGCTACAGGTAATCACAGAGAGGCTAGTGTAGCTTAAACTCCTATACAGTGACTTCCCAGCATTTTTGGAAATAGGATTTCCGTAGTTAGAGATTTACAGAATATTAGGCAAGTACAATCTAGATTTAACTCAAACTATCTGGATCCAGCCCAGTCAAACTACCTACAGCTTGTTAGATGATAATTCATTAGTCTAGATTTCACATGAGAAAGAAAATATCTAAACAATCACCCCCACTCTTAACTGTCACAACTGAATCATGCTTAAGCGGGAGAACTCAATTAATTTATATAAGTTGGGGGAAATGTATTTTTGAAACCATATGTTTAAGCTAAAGTCATGAATTGATTTTTCATTTATCAAATATAACTATATAAAGATATATAGTTTTATGTAAAAAGGCAACAAAATTGCGAATTAAATTCAAACATTTCCTCTACTTAAATGATCAATTCCTCTGAGTTCAACAAAGTTGGCCATTTCTTTAGCACGAGCATCTTTAATTGACATACGTGCTTACATGTATGGTATGGGGGGATCCCTGTACCCAATCAATCCCTGTGTTGAGTATAGAAGCTTGTGTGAAGCGTGGCGACCTTTTACAAGCACAAAGCCTCAGTAGTGACCTTCGTGGACTCACATGCGGAGGGGTACTGTGTCGCCCCTGCATCATGGACCCTTGCCTCTAGCCTTGTCCAAGGCCCAAACCACCTTTCCCAGGGATGCCGTGCAGTCTCACTCCCACCAGGGATGGGGACCTGCTGTCCACATTTGGACACACTCCCATCCTTTCCCTCTCATCCCAGCACTTCTGGCTCCACTTAAAGGAAAGCAGTAAAACAAGATTTCTCAGTTAAGGCACATTATGGAAGTGCTCTGTTTCTCCTCTAAAAAAATCCTCTTTTCCTCTAGAAACTCACACAAATATTCCAGTCCTCACCAGAAAGGCTGTGTTGTAGTTTATGTTATGGAGTTGCAGGGTTTTGTGTGTCTCACATCAGTTAATCCCCTAAGACACAACAGCCTCTGTGATGACGGCAAAGTTGAGCAACTCGACACCATTTGGGGCATTAACACAGGCTAGGAGAAAGAAACGGGATACGCGCTAAGGTTTCCCACGTATGGAGCGAATGCCCTAGAATTCCTTGGGATTTACACCTCCCCATCTACCAGGAAGGAGAAATGCGAGCTGTTCTCATTCACTGCCTGCTGTTTGTTCTCTGTTCTTCCTGCCAGGACTAATTTTGGCCGCTGCGCAACCTTTGGGTTACAGATGTTAGGGGGCCGCGCCTAGGGGGAAGGGGACTCTCAGCCCCGGCCAGAAAGTTTGGTACTAAGGCGCTGGGCGTGCTCCCAGGGCAAAGTGCGGGTTCCTCAAACGAGGAAGGTTGGGCGGCACTTAGGGTTTTCTGTCTTGTTTGCAGACACAAGTTCAGTTGCACCTCGTGCAAAACAGCCCTGAAAGCTCAGGCTTGAAGACGAAATGTGGAGCCCAGGCTCCTTCGATTGAAAACTTCGCTACGAGGACACTCTCCGCAGTCGCCGGCCAGAAAGGATTTCGGATCAAGATCCGCAGAGTGGTGAGCAACTCCCAGGGTCCGAGGCTGAGCTGACTGCAGGCTGGTAGCCCTTCTGCCCGTAGGAGAATCTCCTTTCTGCAGAAACTACTCCTGGAAAACAAAACCGAGTGAAAAGAAGGGCAATGCGGGTCTGCGCGGAGGGGAGCTCCCTCCCCGGGGAAGGAGGCGCCTCGCGCTGGCTGACTCGCCGGTGGGGTGCAGGTAGGGGCAGACTAGGGTGAGAAGGGGGGATCGCGGAATACAGGTCCCCCGCGGGTCCGAGGGACAGGGTGCAGGCGCATTCCAGGCACCTACGGCCGTCCCGTCTGCTCTGAGGAGCGGGAGCCGGCCCCGGGCTCTGCACATCTCCCGGGAATCCAGAAGCTGGACTGCGGGGCAGTTGTGTCGGTGGGGGAGCTGGATTACTTCCCTAGCTGGATTTTCCTTCCGCTTGCTCCCTTGATCGAGTGCCCACGCCTGGCAGGAGCTGGCTGTGTGCCGCCAGGGGTGGGTGGAGGTGCGTGGGGCGCGGGCCTTGGCTCACTTGGGTGTGTCCCAGTCTTTTTCCTCCAGAATTAGAGGCCTCTGCAGGGGGCAGAGCCCCTCTCCCTCTCTCCTAACTCTCCTCCCAACCTCGACACGGCCTGAGCTAAGATGTGGGGAGCTACCAAGGCTGTATCCCTAGGAGGCCCCGAGCACTTTTCCTCCGAAGGTCGAGGAAATCAGGTCCCTTCTCTCTCCCTAGCGCCCTCTGAGGAAGCCGCGAACCTCTGGGCGAGCATGGTTTTACTGGGGATTCCTAGAGACCGGCCATGTGCCCAGCGACGCCCGGAGGGGAGAGGGAGCCCTTTGGAGGGGCGGTGTGGGGGTGGGTGTCTACACTGCGTCCTCTGGCTCGGAGCAGGACCCGGTGATGCGCCCTGGCCGAGCTCCTGTCTCCTAGGGATGGAGGGGACTCGGGCCCTGTCGGGACCCTTCGACAAGGAAGGCCCGGGGAAGCCTGGATCCAACAGGCACCGGGATCCAGGAGGCAGACTCCTTGGTTCCGAACGTTTCTTCCGGAGCGAAAACTTGCTCCCCGTTCCCCCAAGTCCCTCGCAGGCTGGGAGGTGAAGGGAGGGACAGAAGCTGGGCCTCCTCCGCAGCGCCCAACACCCTGGGCTCTCCGGGCCCCGGGACTCGGCTCGGGTGCGTGGAGGGACGGCCTGGAGCGCAGATTTGTGAATGAACCTCGGAGCTCTTTGCAGCTCACAGATCAGAGGCTGCGATCGCCCCACCGACGTGGTCCAATGAGCCTCTGCAATAAGCGCTTAGCGACGAAGCTGGGGCACCGCCTGGACTCTGTGGCTCCGCGCTGCGCGGGGCCGGACGGGGGAGGGGCCCAGCCACTGCAGCAACTTCAAAGCCGGTGTCGCGACTCAGCGATGGGTGGGCTCTCCCCCGGCCGCACGGTTCGCAGGGGCCTCCCCTAACCCCCACAGCCACCCCGCCGAAACGCCCAGAGGCGTTCCCAGCCCAAGTGATACGTGACTCTGACTCCCGGTTGTCTTCGAGCCCTCCGCTCGCGCGTCCTTGGCGTCTCCCCCGAGACCCGGGGGGCGATCACATCCTGAGACCTAATCCGGTTACTTCCGGGCGCGGGTCTCCACCGCCTCCCGGGCTGGTTGGACTCACTTCCTAAGTAGCTGTCTCATTCACAGCTCCCGCGCCGCCAGTTCCTCTTTCAAAATTCAAGTCTTCGGCTGCCTCCCTGAGCTTCTGCGTGCAAAGGGAGGGGAGGGGAGGAAGGAGCAGACACCCACGTGTGCCCGGGAGGGACCCACACAGACTCCCCGCTCCCACAGCAGAGGCCCTGGGCCCCCTCTTCAGAGGGAAATCGATGAGCAGACACTAAGCGACGCGAGTCCCGGCCCCTTCCCCGCCGGGAGATCTCCGTGCGTTCCAGAAGCGCACCTGGAAGCAATTCTTCTAGCGTAACCGTCGCCTCCTAAGCCTCTCCAGCATCTTCACATCTCCTAAGCATCTGCACATTTCTGCGCTGTTTTCTGGAGGACCTCGGAGAGGCGGAGGGGACGATGGGGTGCCGTGGGGGCAGGGAAGGAGAGAGGTCAGGGGTTACGCAGGATTACGGCTCGGCTCGGTGACCCCTCTCATCTTCCGTGGCCCAGGGAGGGGATCTGTAGCGAGGGGTCCGGACCTCTTTTGCAAAACCGAACTCTAGGATAGGGCTTGCGCCCCATGAAGCACCGGGGAAGTCCAAATGAAGAACGCCGGCGAGCGGCCGGGAGCGGAAGACGGCAGGTTCTAGGGGCCCCGGAGGGAAGAGGGGCATGCATCCCCAGTGACCACGGCTCGAGGTGGCGTGTCTGCTCCGCACCCGACTACAACCAACCCGGCCTGCGCCCCTCCACGCTTGAACAGGGCGGGTCCACCCGGGCGGTGAGCTCCGCCGGTGCAGCGCAGCCTCAGCCCCGTGCCTCCCTCCCGCTTGCTGGGGAAGAGGTGGGAAGCCCTCTCCGCCGCACCCTGGCTCCCACCGCAGGCCTCCGTGAATAAACTCTCTCAGGGGGACTGAACTGTCCCCCACCCTCTGTCCCAGCCTCAAGAGGGACTTCCTGAAAATATGGCAGCCAAGAATAGGGTGAAAATGTGAGACTGAGGTTTCCTTCTCCACCTCCCCCTGCCCCCTGCCCCCTGCCCCTTCATCTCCCCACTTCCCACCAGCCCAAAGGGGTCCAGCTGTAACCACCACCACCGCCACCACCACCTCTACCGTGCTGACGACTGTCACCATTTCCTTCCAGCTCCAGCTGTCTCTTGGACGCCTCCACTGGAAGGCCGACGGGCACCTTCAATTTCACGTGTTCACTTCAGAGCACCCCTGAGCCGGCTACCCCTGCTCCCCTGATCTGCGCCTTCCCAGTTTCTCCCAGTCACCCAGCTGGCCACCGCGAAGGAGACATCCCTGATCCTTCATTTTCTCTAGAGTCACCCCCTGTCCATTAGCAAGGCCTGTTGGCTCTGCCTCCACATCTGTTCCACAGCTCCCCCATACTCCTCTGTCCTCCACTAGCCCCCAAGCCCTTTCCCCTGTGCCTGCAGGGTTGCATGGCCTCCTAACCAGCTCTCCACCTCACACGTGTGCCCTGTGGTTCACTGTTCTCCATACAACAGAGTAAGCTTCAGCTCAGACCTATCCTTGGTCAAAACCAGTGGTTTCCACGTGCACTGAGAATTAGACACATTCTTACAATGTCCTTCAAGGCACCATGAAATCCACCCACCACTTCCCTTACCTGAGGTTCTAAGTCTAGTTTTGCCAGTTCTTGAGCCTCCAAGCCATGGCCACCTCAGGGGAGCTCTTTTCCTTTGGTCCTGGCTCTTTATTCATCTGGTACATTCTTTCTGTGCATCTTTGGGCACAGACTGTCCCCCAGAGAAAGGTCATACGATCTAAAATGACTCCCTAATCCAGTTGTGTTCCCCACAGCACTTACGGCTACTTGCAGTTGTAAAGGTGTTGGTGCGTTTTTTTATTGGTCTCTCATCTAGAACGTACCTTCTGGAGGGCAGGGCCTTGTCATCTTCCTGGCTGTACCCTCAGTCCTGCTAAAGGGACTGGCATACAGTAACATGAAGCCAGTGCTCTCAGACTTTCTGGTCACAGGACTGCTTTATGCTCTTAGGAATTACTGAGCTCCCGAAAGAGCTTTTGTATATAGCAACAGATAGATTTAGACATCTATCCAGTGATTTGCACAGTATTAGAGATTGAAATGGTAATGTTTTAAATATATTGATTAATTGATTCATTTACAATGACAATAAAAACCCACTTCATGTTTACTTAACATATTTTTATGAACATTTATTCTATTCCCCCAAACAAACAAAAAAAAAATAGTCTGAAGAGTGGTCTACATTTTTGTACCCCTCTTTAATATCTGGCTTAATTAATAGAAGATAGTTGGATTCTCATTTTTCCTTGTGCAATCCATTATTTTGGTTCAAGTATATGAAGAAAATGCAATCTGTCACAGATATGTAGTTGAAAACTGGAGGAGTATTTTTCAGCCTTGGCAGATAATTGTGGATATTTTTCCTTGATATTACCCCAAAATTCAACAAATGGTGGTTTCTTAAAGGTTGGTTGCAATGTGGAATCTGAAACCATGTCAATGAACATTTCGTACTCTATTACATTAAAATCCATTGATCTATCTTGCACTTTGAATGGCTCTTTTGGCCACAAAATATTTCCTTCCTTCCTTCCTTCCTTCCTTCCTTCCTCCCTCCCTTCCTCCCTTCCTCCCTTCCTCCCTCCCCTCCCCTCCCCTCCCCTCCCCTTCCCTTCCCTTCCCTTCCCTTCCTCTTCTTTTTGACAGAATCTCTCTCTGTCGCCCACACTAGAGTGCAATGGTGCAATCTCAGTTCACTGCAACCTTGCTTCCTGGGTTCAAGCGATTCTCCTGCCTCAGCCTCCCCAGTAGCTGGGATTACAGGTGCACGCCACCACACCCAGTTAATTTTTTGTATTTTTAGTAGAGATGGGGTTTCACCATGTTGGCCAGGCTGGTTTCAAACTCTTGACCTCAAGTAATCCACCTGCCTCAGCCTGCAAAATATTTCATACCACTGTATATTGGTCATTTGGAAAATATTGGTTCACTGAGTTATGCAGGTCTTCCAAATGTCGAACTATTTCCTTAAACAATATCACAAAATCACATTTGTTAATATCACCACTAATCTCATTGGAAAGCTCTTTAAATTTGAGAGGTTGTCCGGCTCATGGTGTTGGATACAAGTTTTCAAGAATTTTAATTTTCACTTGAAAACTCACGTTTTACCATTAGTGGCAAATGCTACTTTCTTCAACATGACAGGCTCGTTTCATTTATTTTTGAGAAAGTATCTGCCAAAGACCTAAGTCTCAATAACCGTGATTTGTCTGTTGGATGCTATTCCATGTAAAATGGGGCTCTGTGAAAAAGCTGGCTCAGTCAGCTCATGGCTGTAGCCCGCCCGTCCTTTTCCTTGGCGGCTGCTGTTCTTCTGTATGGCAGCTCCCCATTTCTTCACCCAGAATATTGAAAAGACATGTGCTCCAGAGCTGAGCTTTAATAAAACTAATTCTTTTTACTGCTTCTTCAAGAACATTCTTAAGTGAAACTGGCATTTGAAAAACAAAACACAAAAAACAAAAAACCTGTGAGTGTCTGGCTGTGAAGAGCACACCATCCGCTATCAGTGCTGATGTCTACAGGCAACAAAGCTACATAATGACTCACAGTGTAACTGTAAAAAACGTTTGGAGGTTGTCTTAGGGACCCCCAGGATCTGCACTAAATGAGATTTCATAAATGAATGGATGACTTTTCCTACACAATCATGTATGGTGGATACTAGACGTCCATAGTTTCTCATCCAAAGCTATTGGCCACAGACACGTTTCAGGATTTCTTTGATTTTGGAGAGGTTGGGTGGTGCACATATCAGGTGCCACCTAACCCCATGGGGCGTGAGCAGGGCCCTGTCTAACACATTAATAGTTCTGTGGTGAAGACAGGAAAAGCCGAACAAGCAGGTAACAGTCACAAGGGGCCCATGTCTGTTCAAGTCAGGTTCTGCCATCCAAGGAGGCAGGAAGATACCCTCCCATTTTGAAAGCATTTGGATTTTGGAGTTGTAGACCAGGGGTTGTGGGCCTATCTCCTGATCTCCACTCCACAAGGGTACTTCGGGGAGCAGATGGCGGGTGAAGGAGCTGGGAACGGAGCACCCAGGGCCTGTTGAACTTCCACTCTGTCATCTCCCCTCCCCTCCGCACCCCATGACCTCAACCACATGGCCCTTCTAACACCAAGTCATCCAAGGCCTTTCCTGCCCGGCCCTGGGATTCCTTCCCTCTTCTCCAACCTTGTGTCCTCCACACACTCTGAACTGTGGCCATGCGGGACCACTCTGCATGGTCTTCTGATATTCTACCAGAATCTCTCTGATCATTCTGGACTCTGCGCCTTGTCTCTCTAGGGCTATAGCACCTACTGGTGCCTCTCAGCTTCCCTGTCCTCCCTGGGATGCACCTTCTTTTTTAATTTAGTTTTTAATATTTATGGGTACATAGTAGGTGTATATATTTGTGGGATGTCATGTTTTGATACAGGAACACGTGCAGTAATCACATCATGGAAGATAAGAGTATCTATTCCTTTAAGCGCTTATCCTCTGTGTTGCCAACAATCCAGTTATACCCTTTTAGTTATTCTTAAATGTACAACGAAATTATTATTGACTGTAGTCACCCTTTGTGCTGTCAAAGAGTAGATCTTATTCATTCTTTCTAACGACTTTTTTGTACCCATTAGCCATCCCCACTTCCTCATTCCTGAAGGACCACTTTGGATTCCTGAACTCCCAAGAAACGTTCCAGCTTTTGGACTTTAGTTTTTCCAATATCACTTATGAGGACCCAAGTTCTACCAGGGCTTCTCCTACATTGAAAATAATTATATCTAAGACTGAAACAGAAATTTTTGTCTTGGCAAATTTGATATCTGGAGGGTGAATATTACTTAGAAAACAACCACCTTCTACTTTCTGCTTCTCTGAATTTGATGATTCTCGGAGCCTCATGTGAGTGGCATCTTGTATTATAGTATTTGTCTTTTTGTGTTTGGCTTGTTTCACTCAGCATAATATGCTCAAGGTTCAGCTGCATTGGAGCCTGTGTTGGACTTTCCTTCCTTTCTAAGGCTACTATTCCACTGTGTGTATGTAGGCAACACTTATTCACCACATTTTCTGTACCCATCCATCCCTCTGTGAACACTTGGGAGGGGTTGGGGACGCATGGCCCTCAGCCATAGGTGTGCTGAGCACTTAAGATGTGCCCAGTGTGGCTGAAGAGTGGAATTTTCAATATTAATTAATGTAAATATAAATTTACAAACAGATTTTCAATTCAGCTCCTGGGAAATCCCCAAAGATGTCTGAAATAACTTGGGCGTGTGAATCTACTTTTTTACCTGCAAGCTTAATAAACCCTAAATGCAGGTCAAGTATTTGCCATGGAAATGCAATGCCCAAGTTGAGAGATGCTAGAGGTATAAAATGCATGCTGGAATTGGAAGACTTAGTACCAAAATAAAAAAAAAAAAAAGGAGGTAAAATGTCTTGTTAATTTGTATATTGATTACTTTTGAAATGATAATATTTTGGATATATCAGGTCAACTAAAATATTACGTAAATTAATTGCATCTGTCTGTGGTGTTCATGTGGCTGATAAAAAGCTTAAAACTGCATTGTGGCTCACATTTTCTTTCTGTTGGTTTTGCTAGCCTAGAACGGGTCTGAGCTCATCAGAGAAGGGAACGAGGGGAAGAAGAATTTTGCAGGGAACAGGGCTGTGAGGCGCACTGTCAGGAGTCAGCATAGGGTTTGACTGCCTTGCTTTGTGAGGTGAGGGTGTGGTGGGTGGCTTCAGGGAGTGAATGGCTGCCATAACAAAGTGCTACACACTGGGTGGCTGAAATAACAGGAACTTATTCTCTCACAGTCTGGAGGCTGGAAGGCCAAGATCAAGGGCTCAGCAGAGTTCTGCTGTCTCCAAAGGCTCTGAGGGAGGATCCTGCCTTGTCCATTCCAGCTTTTGGTGGCTCCGTCAGTCCTGGGAGGTCCTGGGTTCGCAGCTGCATGACTCCAGTGTCCCCCCTGCCCCCTGTCATCACTGAGTGGCCTCCTCTGTGTGTCTGTGTCTTCTTATCAGGTCACAAGTTGCATCGCATTAGAGCTCACCGGAATAAGCTCATCTGACCTTGATTACATCGGGAAAGATCCTGTTTCTAAATAAGGTCACATTCACAGGTATTGGGGATTAAGACTCCAACTTATCTCTTTGGCCAGCCCCTAACAGGAAGGTAGGCAGCGTCTGGATTCCAGCAGGCTCGTAAGTCCTGCTAAGGACCTTGGCCTTTTCGTGGCATGTTCCTGAAACTCTGTATTCCTTCTCTTCTTCCTCACATGTGAATTGAGAGAGCATAGCACTTCCCTCACAGGGCTGTAGGGGAGTTAAATGTGCCGTATGCAGAAGGCACATAGACAATGCCTAGCACACGACAAGTGCTAGAGGAAACCTCGCTTTTTTTTTTTTTTTTTATGGAGTCTTCCTCTGTCACCCAGGCCATAGTGCAATAGCATGATCTGGACTCACTTCAACCTCCGCCTCCTGGGTTCAAGCAATTCTCCTGCCTCAGCCTCCTGAGTAGCTGGGATTACAGGCGTCCACCACCCAGCTATTTTTTTTTTTTTGTATTTTTAGTGAAGATGGGGTTTCACCATGTTGGCCAGGCTAGTCTCAAACTCCTCACCTCAGGCAATCCACCCACTTCAGCCTCCCAAAGTGCTGGGATTACAGGCATGAGCCACCCCGCCTGGCCTGCTTCACTATTTGTATTGCTATTTCTCCTAAAGGCAGAAGAAAGCCACCCAGAGTTTTCCAATGGCAGAGAGGTAAGTAGCATGGAGGAAAGATCAGTTTTAGAACTGCCCTGTCCGATGGCACTGCCATTAGCTCCATGCAACTGTTTGTATTTTAACTTATTAAACTTAGTAAAATCGTCAGATCGGCTCCCAATTCTCATGAAGCACGTTCTGTGGCCAAAGAGTACGGCCCTGGGCAGCACAGATGGAGAACATCCCATTGTTGTAGGAAGGAGAGCCTGTAGGCAACTGAGAAGGAGAGGAGGGGGCATGCATAGAGGCATGGGACCCAGGGGAGGGGTCTCAGCTGACAGGGAAGGTGAGGAGAAGCCACAGTGGTGAGCCTCAGCAGTGGCAGAGCCCTGGGAGGGT